CTGGAATTTTTCGAGGAAATAAGTGTTTAAGATTTACTTCGTAATTTTTTAATATAGATATTTTGGAGTTGTTATGTATTTTTGCCTTCTCGGGAAGTGAGAACTGAATTAATGAATGAGAAATACTCAATCGTCTGTGAAAAACTGTTTCTTTTTTGTTTTGTTTGCTTAATTTCTTTATACATCATTCTAGCTTATTATAGTATTTGAATAGACCATGTGGCAACGATTAGATAATTCTATTCTTTTAAATGATATAAATTTTGTGCATTATGAGTTATAATATGAACGAAATATATAAGTTAACTGTTATATAATTATTGGATTATATAACAGTTTAACTTAGTTTTCCGTATATAATTATTATATAAGTTTTAACTGTCATATAATTATTAATACTGTTAAGTGAATCTAGCGCCAGAGTGTCGCTATGGTAAACAAATACTAGAGTGAATTTTAAAGAATGCATTATTCTATTGTGGTTTATACGCTGTCGGCGAAGTAGATTTAATTCAATCCAATAAGTTTAAATGAAATGGAAGAAAAAATGCGTATAATTTAATATTCCGTACAAGGAAGTCATGTGGTGTACACATCAGATTTTTTATGCATCTTTTATGGTGTTTAAAATGTGTCACTGATTATGCAATTAACAGTTTAAAAGATAAGTAATTAGCAGAAAAGCCGCGCATATACAAACGGATTTTAAAAAATTATTCAACTTAAATTTAAGAAATAAAATTCTATTATATAACAGTGATAATACACGATCTGCACGAAATAAGACAAATTTAGCGAACTTTTGGCGACGAACAATTTATAAACAAATCCGAACTGCAAGAACGTCGTAAAATATTGTCAACTCTGAAATTTCCTCGATTATATATTTAATGAGTATATAAACATTTTTAAAATGACTCAAGCAGTTATATTACAACAAAACGGCAATAATTAAATCAGCCTCTATTTCCATGACTTCACAGTGTGAGCCATCGCCATATCGAAAGTTACGCGTGATCCTTCAGAAGCAGTTCGTCTGATTGGTTGAACGTACGAGGAACACGTCTCCAGACGAAACATTTTGGGGGAAGTTATAAAATGTTGCTCATAGCCGGGACATGTTACGCCTAGCTAGACGAAACTTTCTCGGAAGCTTTCCGCTAGCAGTGCTACTAGAATCTCGTTTCTTGGAATTGTCCCGCGTAGCCGCGCGCGTCCCTAGAAGTGATAGCCTTTTTGTTGAATCGTTGAATCAAAATCGTTGTATTTGTTACTCATAAATTCGTTACAAATATGTTTACAAAATGCGAAATCGATAATAAAACAAATTTCAAATTTGAGATTTCAGATGCCCATATTCGCAGTAGGATTACGTCATTCAAAATTGGATGGCTCTAGTTACCGTTGTTTTATCACAATGCAAGAAATAGACATACATTTATGCAGATGTTTCATTATTTAATTTCTTCAAATATAATGCAAGACTCTTAACATTTTGTGGCAACAGTTTGAAAAGTGAACCGACATTTATAGGAGTCCGACGCGAAATGCCAAACGAAAGTAATAGTCTTTCGGGATTCAAATCCCTTTGGACTAAAAGTCTGAAAGGTTTCAGATTTTAAATTACGTCCAAAAGAGCGTTTTTTTTTTAACGTTTGTGTGTTACCTCTATTTATTAAATATCAAGTTCTTTGCACTTAAAACATAAAATTCAGTTCAACAGCAATGTCGCAAAATAATTTTAAAATGAGCATATCTTTAGAATTTCCGATACACAGTTCCGCGCGCTGGAGATAAAAAGGGCCTGTAGAGTGTTACCATTGCTCGCTTTTAAATCGTTGATTTTGTTACTCAAAAATTCGTTGAAGTTTTACGAAATCGATAGTAAAACAAATTTTAAATTTGGTTTTCACATGTCCATATTCGTAGGAGGATTACGTCGTTCAAAATTCGATGTTCTATGTACCGTTGTTTTATCACCAGTTTGAAAAGTGAAACGGACATTCAGAGTGATTCAACCAAAATCTCAAAACGAAAACAATAGTCTTTCAGGGGCAAAGCCCCTTTGGACTAATAAACAGTTCTAAACCTAATCCATAAAGCTGCAACAGCTGGTTTCAAAACTAAAATATAAAATAAAACATTTAAATTCATTGCATATTCAAAAGAAATTAAGTCATTAAAATGTAATTGTTTTCATACGCAACAAGTATGGTAAAAACAATTTAAAACAGATTTGAGATTCATAGTAAGCAAGTGCATATAAAAGTACAAAAGCTGTGTAATCAAAAATGAAGAATGAAATAAATGTAATTTACATCTCTCGCCACATCGTCTCAAGGGACTGGCGTAACGAGTAAAATAAATGGATAAGCCTGTTCTGAACTGACAGTGACACAGATTTACAAATTAAAACTTAAAAGTTCAATTAATTACAAATTAGTTTGTTTCTTTTTCAGTCTAACTCCTACAAGCTGGTTTAGGAAGAGCAAAACTGCCCAATTTTCCAAGAGTCCTAAAAGAAACAAATAATTTGATCAAAATAAAAAAACAATTATATTATCTTGAGCATTTTATCAAAATAAAAACTATGTTGAGCAGACAGAGTCATATCTTAAAAAAAATTATCTAACAACACAATACAGTACACAATACGTGAAACATTAAACATAATAGTAAACAAGAGTCAGTTCTAAGATTTTAATTTGACTAGATTGGTTACATATTTAGAATTGATTCTTGTTCACCAAGTTTTTTTTATTTTAATCAAAGAATGCTGTTTTAATGCTTAATGTTTTTTAATGTTTTAATGCTGTGTTTTAACAATTATTATGTTAGAAAACAGCATTAAAACATTAAAAAACATTTTATGTGAGGAATCTAGAAAAATTAGGCAGTTTTGCTCCTTCTATTCCTGGCTATATGGATTAGACTGATAAAGACAAAAACTTATTTGTAGTTAATTGAAGTTTTAAATTTTAACTTGTAAATTTGTGTTATTGTCAGTTCTGAAAAGGCTGATCCATTTACTTTTGACGTTACACTGGTCCCCTGATGACGATGTGGCGAGAGATATATAAATTTTCTTTATTTCACTTTTTCCATTCATAATGTTTCACTGTGAGTGGAATTCTGTCATCAATTTTTATCCCATTTCCTGATAGGATACTGAGTTCACATTTTATACTCATTCTATTTACGTACGTCGATCCAAAAGAAATGCAAGAATAGATTTAATTATTATGTGGGAAAATGATAGACAAGCATGGTCTGTTTTTAGTAACCATAGTAACGTTTTTCTTTTCTTTTTTTATCCACCCCTGTACATTGTTAACGATGATAATGCGATGTGGTGAAATACTTTTCAAAATTTGATTTCGATTTTTTTATTTAATGTTTGAGCGATCTTTCCCACAAACCTTCGCTTAACGAACAAACTAAGTAGATCAGAATTTTACTGTTCGCAACGTCGAATAGAACGGAAAAGATGCTTTATCTTTTCAGTGAAACTTGTAAGAAAATTTAACTTAATTTCTGAATTGTGGGCGAATTTTTGCAGTCGCTGGATTTTTCTATTATTTGACGTTTTTTAATTTTAAAACTTGAACACCTAAAAATGTATCAGATATCAAATTTTGAAATTTTTACAGAGTATAAAACAAACTTTTCGTTCTCTTTTAAACCTAGATTAAAAACTGAGCGATTTTCTACATTTAAAAATTAATGCGTTGCTGTCTGAAACAGATGTGAGAAAAACAAGTTGGCGATATATATATATATGTATATACACTTTTTTTCTTGTAAGCTTTTAGTAAAGTTTTCGTTGTGACATTGTTATTACATTAAATTTCCGAAACTCAATATTCAAATCGATTTCTTCATTCCGTGAATGATCTTCTAAGAATTCTGTGAAGTCTGTGAATGATGTTCAGTTATTTTTCTTTATTGCATAAGTTTCTTATAATTTATTGCTTTTGTTTCAATTATGATTAAAAATGTCATCACTGATACGCGTAACTGAAATTGAAAGACAGAAAATAAAATACAATTAAAAAAACAGTTTTTATACAACTAGTTTTTGTTTAAAATGTCTATGATAATTAATACACTTAAAGGGAGAAAAAATTTATCATATAATTCAATTGGAATAATAGATTAAATAATGCTATTTACAGAATTCATCTGCAATTTAACAAAAGCGTGGAGCGCCTGAATAACAAAATCTGTTGTAAATGTCGTAAAACTGGTGCATTTCATATGTATAGAATTAAAAGAGATTTTTCCATTAAATTTATAAATTTCGATATTCAATTTTTTTATTATTATTGACGCAAAATAAGAAACTATACTTACACATTATTAAAACATTATATTTAGAAAATATTATCTCACGAAAATTTTAATACCATTTTAATTTAAAGAAATCTTTACTATCGTGCTTGGAATGATTCGTGAAATTCTGCTTACGAATAAAGGCAAAAGAAGAATTATTTTAATTAGTTTACGCTATCTGGTTCAAGCAAAAGCTTTCGCTATTTGATAACTCTTCATGTTTCGCATATGTCTTTTGTATGTATATTTTTGTAAAACAAGACTGTGCACTTGTTCCTAGCAAACACGTTGGTTACATTTTGCTTGCTAAGCGACAAATAATAAGTCGTCAGTTTTTATCGACACCAACGCTACATAGTAAATAAAAGCATCTCCTACATTTTTTAAGTTAAATAAATCCATTATAGCAATTAATGTCATAAAATAGGACAAGAAAATTCCAAGTGTGCAAAAAATGACCTTCAGAATTTTGTCAAATTAATAAAACTCTCGAGACATGCAAGGAATGAATTTATTTATAAAACTTTAATTTAGGTTTACGGTTTCTCAACTTTTTCGCAAACTTTACCCAAGTTTCTAACAAATAAGTTTTATTAGAGTTAATTCAGCTTTTATTTTCATACTACATATTTTGTCTAAAAGTAATGCCTTATTTTTCTCTCTTTCAGTTCCATCAAATACGAGACAGAGTATTCCGGTCTAATACCTCGTGTGCCTTCGTTGTTTGGTTATTTGTAGCTTTGACGCAGATCATCATGACTCCAAAGTAAGTAACATCTCCGTACATAAAAGATATTTTTTAAAAATGCTTTCACAAAAATAATGTATATCAAAAAGTTCAGGATAACTTTGAAAATTAATCTTTCGGCGCTAGTGACAGCATTTTCTTCATTTATTTCAAAATATATATTAGGCCTTACTTCTTAAAGTTTAGCTTTAAAGTTGCCTCGTTTTGCATAACGCAAACAGCTAAATAATATTTATGACAATGTAAACAGCAGTTTTATGGATTGGTTCACATTTTATTCTCATAACATATTTCAGTCCTGGAATTAAAGATCATTGCTTAATATAATCCAGTGTCAACTACATATCAGAAATAAATAAATAAAGTCAACATCTTATTGATTTATTCCCTATCGTCCCAAAATAAGACTTAAGACTCAATTGCTCTGAAGTTTTCATCAATTTCTTTTTTCATACATATGTCACAGCTAGCAAATTTCGTTCGAATTGATTATGCTTCATTTTACATTAAAAAAATATATTAATTTTAAATATTTGCCTTAAAATTAAACACAAACTTAATTTATTTTTACTGTACTGAAAATAAGAAAGCAATGATTTTAATATAATAAAATATTACATACCTCTTTCTATTATCTTTAACTAACTCATTAACAGCCGCACTACCTTTCTCTTGAAGGAAATGAACAAAAATAAGTTTTTTTGGGGGGGGGGTACTGGAGACTAATTGAGAGAAAAATGTAACTCGAAAAAATATTTATTTTTACTGAAAATACAAATGTTGCGTAAATGCAACATCAGTCAAAACCGATTACCGTATTTGACGGCATATAAGACGCACCCTTATTTAGACGGCCACACACAAGGAAAAAAGGTTTAGCGTGGTTTCTTTTAGGTCTCACGTTTCGTAAAAGCAAAATAAACAATTATTGAATGCAATTACCTTCACGTATAAGACGCAGGTAACTTTTTTTAGACCAATTTAGGAAAAAAAGTGCGTCTTATATGCAGTCAAATACGGTATTTTATCGATACATGGAAATCTTTAAAACATTTCCTATACAAAGGCACATAACATTTATTACAAACAGTTATCATTTGACTCAGTCTTTGCATCTTTTATTTTTTTTTCAATTTTTCTAGATAATGTGATTTGTTGTATTCTTTTTCGTTTCACCTAAAGCTAAATTCTGAATAAAAGATGATCGTCCAGCGTAATCAGATGAAGGATGCAAATTTTCAGAATGCTCTTCCCTTTTTTCAGCAATTCCAGAGTAACACTTCTTTGAAAATCTAACAGAAAAATTAAGTTACCACGCATTTGATTTGGCTACATCAACAAAATTCGCAAAAAATAGGAAGCCAACATTTACTACTTGAACTCAATATGCATCGTAATAAAATTATCCCGAAGCTCCGGACCATCGACATATATGTTGTAACTTCAGATGAGTTTAGCTTGCTTTACGGATACAAATTTGTTTTCTTTTCTTGGCTACAACATCTTGGCAGCGAATGGTCAAGTTGTGCCGAATAAGTTAATTGCCATACCTATGACGGAATTGTCGTTTCTTTGAATTATTGCGATGTCATGCTGTTTATCAAATGCAGTGTCGTACGTTCCACGCTCTTCTTCTTCCATCTTGTTTACAAATGTAATAAGACAATTTCCTAATCTGTCCCAAGAATTGTTTCAGCGCATGAAATTTCAGCTCATTCAATTCCGACAACAACTTGTATGATGTAAAAGAGTTGTCGAACGAAATACGAAGTGTGACACGAAAAAAAAAAAAAAAAAAAAACCATGACTGTGTAGCTTGAAAACAGAGTGGAGTTGGCAACAACAGTTTTGGTGACGTCATGCCACACACCTCCTCTATCCATGCGGCCAGTTTTGACTTAACCAACCACACCGGTGAGGAGTACTGCGTCATTTTGCATGAATGCTTACCAAAATAAGGTATGATTTGCTACTCTGTAGAAAAATGTGATGAAGAAAAGCTCATACTACATGAATTTCGCATTTAAAATACTTAGAGACGAACCTTAGCCAGATTTTTGGTTTTGTCCTAAATACGTAGAAAGTATTCTAATTATTGGAATACTTTCTACGTATATGCTACACATACTAATTATTGGATTCATTGTCAACAGGCTCAGTTTTCCCAAGCAATTTCCTTTTTCTTTTCTTAAATGATTCAGATTTTTTTTATCATTTTTTGATGAATTGGATACATTTTTACATATTTTAGATGGAAAAATCTTGATCTCACCTGATATATCTTTCGGCATTCGCAAGTTACCATCATCAGTGCATTCTTTATGGGTCACAATGTCTGGCTCTGGGGAAATCACTACTAAATCTATTTTATCTCGACTATCATCATCTGATGAAAGTTCGAAAACATCATATTCGTCTAACTCCTTTATAAATTAGACTGCTTCGTTCAATGTAAAAAACCGTTGTCTCGGATATTCGTTGTTTTGGAACATTTGTCTTGTGGAATCTATATATTCATAAAAGCACTGCTTTGAACTGATGTTATGCTTGAGCGACATTTTAAAAAATGCATATTTGTACCAACAAAAACAAAATAATAGCCTTATCTTTTGTGGTCATTATCCAGTCTAATGTTTGTATAAGACTGGCGTGTCTTCATAAAATTATTTGATTGGTTGTGCTTGCAATGAAATCTAATCAAAATTGAAAGAAAAATCTTTGAAAAAAAATACCAAAACGACCATTTATTTTCATAAAATTTTTAATGTGAGTAAAGCAATTTTTGTTGCGCAGAAACAATGAAGCTTTACCTACAGTATATAAAAAAAAACCTGAAGAAAGCTTTCAGATGTTTTATTACATTGAAAGGAGCTTTTGTTTCATGTACACACACACATACGCGTTCCGAAAGCATTTGGGCTAAAAATATTTAAAAACAGTATGGCTTTAGAATTCCCGATGCACAGTCCCGTTCGCTGGAGATAATGTTTTTTTTTTCTTACAGAGTTGCCATTGCTCGCAATCTGTTGAGTTTGTTAATCAAATATTCGTTAAAATTTTACTAAATATGAAGTAGACTACAAAACAAAATTCAAATTCGGGCTTCTAGATGCCCATATTCGGGTGGCGGACAACATTATTCAAAACTGAATGGCTGTAGGTAGCGTTGTTTTTTCACTATGCGAGAAACATACATACATTTATGCTGATTCTTCATTATTTAATTTCTTTAAATATAATACAGGGCGGTAATATTTGGTGGCAACAATTTGAAAAGTGTGATGGGCATTTATAGTGAACCGACGCAAAATGCCCTTCCTAGACTAATAACCCTTGTGGGCTAAAAAAGAAGTTAAACTCTATATATAAGATGAAAAAATGTTTTGACTAATGTTGCTAAAACGCATCGGCAGTTGTTAAAGTGTTAATATTAGAGTAGGCTATAATTGTTAATGATGTAAAATAATATCTTAATGCTGTAATATACCTAATATTATACTTTTGTACTTTCATCTTGTAAATAAACTTACAACTTTAATGCAAAAGCTCAGAAAGGATGCCGATTGTTTTTGGCAGAAATGCATTTTAACTAGGTACCGTACTCTATACACTTTGTATACAGCAGTACTGAAATAAGTGTACGGAAGTAGTACGGCGATGCTTTTGCTAGGAAGCTATCTTCGATATTTTTTATTATGTTTATTTTTACATGATTCCTTATAAGAACTGAAATGATCTAAACCTGTATGTTACAAAACGAGGACTGCTTAGAATATCAATTTGCTACAGTTGCTATCCTCCTACATCCGAAATATTTTCAAGCATCACAAATTTCGGAAAACATGTTGATCTGTCATCGGCAACATATCTTGAAACCATTGGGTATAATCCGTTTCGTTGAGAAGTGACAGTCTCGTTGTGTCTGCTTCGATAAATATAAGCTTCCTTGATACTAGATTTCATAATTTATAAAACATTTTACGAATTTTGAACATTTTTCTTTAATAGCAATTACCGAAACTACATTGATACGCCTTTGCTAATTTCAAAACTCACATAAAAGTACTCTTGTATGCTAGTGAATATTGTCTTCAGCAGATATTATAAACAAAATTAGTTTTATAATGTATTAAGTTGCAAGGTTTCTCTTAGCTAACATGTTATTTATATGTTATTTATTTTCTTTATCTCCTATTTCTTCTGCTAACCTACACTAGAATGTAAATCAGTGTGAGTTTAAATGGAGAACGTATATGTAGTTTTGAAACACTGTTGTGATAATCAGCCAGTGGTGTTAAGTAACTCTGACCTGTTAATTTTGTGAGTGAGTTCTTTATCTGTTAGAAAGCAGGCTTGGTATCCCCATGAGTTGCTCCAAACTGTTAGTTAAATAAGCAGAAAACGCAGTTTAATTTTCAGTCTAATTAGTAACTGAAAGTTAAGTTACTAACTTATATAACTGTTGTACTAATCTGAATATTTTTGATACTGAAATTCCGCAAGTGGCGATGCCTAGTATTTGTTATATTTTAGTTATACTACAAGGTAAGTTTTAATATATATATTAAATAAGCTTTTTCTCTTTTCTGTGTTACTGAAATCTAGCTAGATTCCTGTTTATTTGAAAAGACTATGATTCGTCAGCTCAAGGAAGTTTTCATTAGAGAACTGGAATGTTAATTAAGTTTAACCTTACAGGGTTATTTAACGTTATGTGTAACATGTAACTTTACATGTCAGTTTCCGTAGAAAACCATACAAAAATTAAGAAAATCGAAAGGATTTTTGTGTTATATGTAGAGAGAGTAATGTCGTATTTTTTATATTATTTAAATCAACCAAACTTTAAAGTAACACTCAAATAAATTAACAAAATTTTTATTTTATTTAAGCTAGGAAGAAAAACAAGCAGTCCGAAAAACTGGAGTTTCAAATGTGAGAAGTTCAATAGCTAGAGCTTTACTTAACCCGAAAATTTCTTTGTGATTGATATATATAGGAGATAATACTTGTAGTTC